AATCAAATCAAATCAGGTTTTATTTATATAGCACATTTTTTTTAAAGACTTTTGGTCTAGCCAAAGTGCTGTACATGCAAAATAATAAATAACATATTACAATCGCAAAACAGAAGACAATAAATTACAACCGCAAATATAAAAAATCAAACACAGGGAAATGTCATGAGTCGTGCTCCGCTCTGACTAGAAGGCCAGGGAGAAGAAGTGGGTTTTTAGTGTTGATTTAAAAACCCCTAGGGTCTGGGCTGACCTCACATGGAGGGGCAGAGTGCACAAGCCAACAAATCGTTATGACATCATAAAGTGGCCAAAATCTGATCAGCTCATTTACAGACAGGTTAGAAAAAATAGAGGGGGTCTTTGTTCCTGAAACTTTCTGAATCTCTTTACACAGAGGGGACACATGTTTATGTATATAAGACATGAAAATGTGGATTTTGCATAATAGGTGACCTTTTTAAGATTACAGTTAATACAAATCCTGTCCTTCCAAGTGGACTTTGCAGGGGACAATGCTTTAGATTGAGACCATGAAAAGAGTCCCACTTGTGAATTTTCATCTTTCTTTTTCTGCAGGTGCATCCGGCTGGGATGAAGATTCCAGACTTCCTTGTCGGTCGACTCAGTTTTCCAAAGCCAGTCCTGCTCAGACTGGTGAGCTCCGAGGCGTCCCGGCTGTCAAAAAGCAACAGACTGAAGGTGATCACTCTGCATGAGATCAGAGCTGCTGCCATCATTGTTCAGAGGAGGATTCGTACAAGAGCTGCAGCATGAAGAGTTGCAAAATGTCATTTTAACTTTTAACATTAAATATGTATTTTTATTCTGTTGCCTTTTTCCCTTTTTTTAAAGTCATGCATGCTTTATCAAGTCGGTCAGTACATTCAAATGAGGCCTACTCACTCTTAAGTATGTTTATTCATGTAATTAATAACAACCTTTCATTTAAATCCAAGTTGTACAATTTAAAACGTCAAGATTTGCAGGGCACAAGGACACATTTTGTTTTGATGCACATTACTCATAGTAGCCTTAATACTGAAATATTTATCACAGCTTGAGTTTGATGGTGAGCTCCATTTCAAGTAACCACTAATCATTTTGGTGTCTGCATTCAAAACGCACAACTGCAAAAACACTTTAATTTTTTTTAAGTGTTCTTTTTAAATGGATTTTTTTTTTTTTAATAAGTAAAGGTAGACATTCTAAAAATTAACCCTAAAGCTGTTCAATTGTTCTCACCAATCTGTCGCACTCAAATTCCATCTCGGCTCTCAAAATAATTGTTGTAAATGTAGTGATTAAATGTTATAATGGGGGCATTTATTGCAGTAACTTGCCCACACATGTGGATAATGTTTAAGGCTTGAACGTGGTTATTTAATGTTTTAAAAACTAGATGGCTGCATTTTAAAATGCTGTTCACACAAACACATTTTGGGTTAAATGGTTTAAACTGGTCCGAAGGTGGCGCCAGAGTAAAGATTATTTGAAAGTATCCTGAGGATCATAACAAACTTCATGGATAGTAGTTGCCATCACATCTTGTCAGGAGCCCTTATTGAAACTGGTATCACCAATAATCACAATTTCAGTGGATGCACGACTCGAGGCACAGAACAGAGTAGTCATGGTGAATATTACCTGGGGAATATTTGTGCTTTGAGGAACAGAAGAGATAAATGGAGTTATAGTGTCGTGTTTGTCTGAGAATCCACCTGCTGCTGCTCCGCCTCTCGCTGGGCTCTCTCCTCCTCTCTCGCTGGACTCTCTCCTCCTCTCTCGCTGGGCTCTCAGCTCCGGTCTCTGAAACACTTTCCCCGCTGGATCATCTTTAAACTCGAACCTGTGGCAGGACATGTAGAGAAACATTTTGTGCCGTTTTGACGCAAGTTTTTATTTTCTATCATGATTTCCGGCTCGCGCGGATACAAGCTGCAGGTAGGAACACAAACGATGTGATTTATTTGCACCGGATGCATACATAAACACTTCCTTGGAATAACATGTGGATTGAAATGATGCGCAGTTAGCAACATTTCATTTTTGATTCTGTGCAATATAAACGGTTTGAGAGTATTGGGGCGTGATAAGCAGCCATTTACAAGACTAAGTGTATCCCCATGTTTCTTGTGTTTTTATATTAAAGCCTAATTCTAATGCACATTTGGTGACGTGGTAATGTATTCCCAGGACGTGAAAGAGATCTGATAAATTAAAGAGTTACTCTATTTTCTTTCTGTGTCAAACAACGCTGTGAAGTTAGTTTTAGGTTGGATATTCCGATCCAAGTCACTTCCAGTGCTGCAGTACAATGGAGCATTGATTTGGTCACTACTATCAAACGGATATGAGACTTTTCAACAAAAACATCTACATTTTCATTAGGATATTCACATAAATAGGAGCTGGACAAAAATACAATAAATAAGCTCTCCAGTATAGTAAAACTATGCTACATTGGTTTTGAGTGATTGTGCAACATAACATGTAAACTATTGAACATAATCCAGACTTTTATCTGGATAATCCAATTAAAATGAGTGTGTCCTTCTTGCTAATATTTGGTATGGATTTGAATTCACACATCTGTCCAGAAATACAATGCTGCATTGATTTGGAGTCACTGGATCACATGACATGGACACTTTGGAAAAAACGAATAAACTGAATGATCTATTGAAATACTTTAGTCAAATCAATTAATCACATTTCGTTAATCAAAAAAGAAGTGCCACATAAGAAACACTTATTTTAATTAGTTTAGTATCATTTTCACTAATATGGGCACGTTGGCATGGAGGTATTACAAAAATAGAGTTGGTTGTGTCATTCCAATAATGTATTGATGGTCCTGCAGTGAAACCCTGAGTGAGGCTCAGATGTGAGCTAAACATTCTCTGACTGAAGTCTGAGAAAATGATGAAGATGCTACTGTATCCGGAGTGAATGTCTGTCAAAACAATCCACTTCATTTTCATTTATTTTAGTTTTTAGTTGTTTATATTCGACCAAATACAAACTTCACTGTTTTACAGCTGAATCATGCAGCTCAGTACTGTTGTTACTTTGCAGGTCTCTGGGCAGCAGTCTCTTACCACCAGCCATATATCACTCAGCTTTGGAAAAACTGACTGATGTGATCTTCGGGAACTCTTTGTTGGTCATCATGGGATGTGGCACCTCCGTTGCTACGGAGACTCAAGGGAAAATAGTTGAGCCAGGTAAAAAAAAGTGATGCTGACATGGTAGAAGTCCAGATGAGTGAAAATACTCCATACGTGCTTGATACTAATTAGAGTTCAAGCTTAGAAAAACTTATTTTTGTTTAGATGGACATACTTTTACATATGAAATACCTTGATACAGTCCAATATTTTTTAAATCAGAGTCTAGATTCCCAAATATACTTATCCTCTTCTCAGTCCACATTGAAAACTAGAGCTGAAACAAACATTCAATTAATTGATCGACAGAAAATGAATCCACAATCTTTTGATAATTTATCAATCATTTCAGTTATTTTCAAAAATTGAAATTGACCTTAAAACTCTTTTGCCTCTTCTCAAAAATGAGGATTACTTTTTTATGACATTGTAAACTGAATATATTCAGGGTTTCTGAAAAATTACATTTGAATATATCATCTTGGATTCTGGGATGGGTATTTGGACATAACTAATGGATTAATTAAAAGATTAACTGGTATACTATTCGATGATTTAAATAATCAGAGTTGCAGTACTTTTCTTGCTCCTTTTTTACCTTGTTGATGTCCTCTGTAAAGCATTGTCTTAAATGATGTGTGCTCTTTAAACTGTGTATTGTTTGCAGTAGTCATAGTATCTCAATATGCATCTCCATGTCACACTGCGTATAGTATGAATGTGATGGTAATTAATTTTTTGCTGTAGTACATTTTCCTCCGACTTGTTGCCCCCACACGCCAGGTGTTTGACAGATGGTGCTTCTCTGTCTTCACGGTCTGTCTTCTCTCTTTAATGAGTGCTGTTTCTCCGGAAAACTCTTTTAATTTGCTTTGCTTTTCCAGTCTCACTGTTGCTCATGACCTCCCCTGTGTCTTGTTATCTGTTTGTGTGTGTGTGTGTGTGTGTGTGTGTGTGTGTGTGTGTGCGTGCGTGCGTGCGTGCGTGCGTGCGTGTGTGTGTGTGTGTTGTTTCATTACCTGTTACTTTTGCTGAATTGTAGTGTATTTTCTTCTCCTCACAGATGACACAGCTAAGACTCCCTGCCCTGCTCTGAGTAAGACCCTACTAATTTCTAAAGTCTGTGACATTATGTGGCATTTGCATTGCAGGCCTTTTTACTCCTGTGATCAAATAGAAATTCTGAAATAATAAATAACAGTCACAAGTAATGTTCATGTACTGTATAACTGTGACTCCAGATATTCAAACATGTCTCCCATCCAAATGAAATGTAACAGCTGGGATTTTGTCGTAGCTATGAAGGCAGCGGTTCTGATCCAGCGATGGTACCGGCGCTACATGGCCCGTCTGGAGATGAGGCGCAGGTACACGTGGAACATCTTCCAGTCCATTGAATATGCCGGGGAACAGGACCAGCTACAGGTGACTCTCAGCACAGCAACTTTATCCTACCTACAAACTCAGAAGCACCAGAAAGCTAAAACATATTTTGTTTTTCCTCTATAGCTCTCAAGTTTCTTCAGTTTCATGCTCGACAACTTTACTCAGCTGAATGAAAATGGACCAGGTTAGGAGACAAAATATTATTTGTATCTATATAATGTTGAGTGTTGAAGGAGTTAGATAGTATTATGAGTATAAAAACACTTTGTTATTTTGAAATGTTGGAGGTAAAGTTCATTTTGAAGTAAAAGCATTTGATAACAGTGTTCATTTTATGAATGCAGTGCACTGCACTGTACATGTAAAGCATTAACTCAGGAATGCCTGTGTCTCAGACAAACCGAGACTGAAATGTGTGAGGTTATTTGAACCATTTAGCTTTTGTTAGTGCTTATTTTTATTCTGTTGTTTAGGTTTATTATATACTACTTTATGGTAAACAGAAATAGAGACGGATCAACATTTTAAATGATCCACTCTTACCTCCATGTAATTAACACCAGCTTTGTTAGGCATGCTGTATTTTGGTCTGCAATAGAGACCCATTGCGTATACCCTGTTGCTTAGCAACTACTGTGAATGTGGAGGCAAATGTGTTGCACTGACACAGCTGTGGCTGAAGTATGTCCAACTAAAAAGCATAAGGCTCCATTAACTAGCTAATATTTAGGTCAGTCCATACTGCGTAACATATACAACACATCCTCTCCATGGATATGTATCCAGTCAACATAAGGGATGCAAAGACTTTGTTGTTTGTATTTAATATTATCCATCTGTTTATGTCTGTGTGGCAAAAAATAAAGGACATTTAATAGACCATAAAGGGGAAATAGACAAAAGACTTACAAAAGAGAAATAGGCCTGGAGGTAGATGAATGTTCTTGTTTGTTTGCATAAATTAGAGGTCACATTAGCATGTTGGAGTGGTCTTTTATTGCAACAGTGAGGCCACACAGAGCTGGATGTGGTGCTGTGTCAAGCTGTTTGTTACGAGGACCTATAAATTAAAATCTGTAAACTGGATTTTAATTCAGTGGGTAAACCTTTAATATTTTTTTCGCATTTAATAGTTAATGTCATTCTTCTTCAGGATTTCTACGGGTGCCAGAAATTCTTAAACACTTGAATTGTAATGGTGCTTCAAACTGTTAAAATGTAGGTTTTATAAGAAGTGACACATTTTTTATATATGAACATAGTTTTCCTCTAATTTGTCACCATTCTGTATTATCCTGTCACAAATTGCACTATAACACCCTATTTAATGTGACGAAGAACTGCAATGATAATATTAATAATAATAATGAACCACCAGCAGATTCATGAAACATCATTGTTTGCTTATCTTTTTTATTTTACACTTTTTGAAATTATTGTTTGTCAAAACCATTGGGCCTACATTAACCACAATATAACTCAGAATTAGTGGGCTAATGTAGCATTGCTCCGCTAGCCTCAAGCATAGATAAGTAGTGGCAGATCTGTTTAGCTCACTTCTTTCTTACTGATGCCCAACTTTTTCTTACTCTAACATTGACTCAATTGACATCATATTTATCCGATTGCGTTCAGCTAAAGCCATAAAAGGTTTTATTGAACTTTTTTACATGTGCAGTTGTACTTCTCAAAACTTAAATAGACTTTGACGTGTTCAATCATTGGATTTACTATTCAGAGTTTTAATCGACTTTCTGTCTTGACACAGAAACAGATAATAACAGAAATATTGAAGTAATTAAAGGTATTTTGTGGCACTGAAACCACGTAGGGATCTCCTTTTTGATTTTGGTGCTCCTCTAAATGTCCTGTTTGAACGATGACTGTATTCTGCAACATCATTTAATTTCTCACTTTTAATCATCATAATTGTCTGTTTTTGCTAAAACAGTATCCATCTTTCAGTTTCCCATATGTATATCACAATACATATTGAAATTGTGGGATAACATAACATATCCTGGGATTTTATTTCTAAGCCCTACTTTCAGTATTGAGCTTTTTCTACATAAGCTCAGTGTGGCCCTTTCTCCTCACGCTGTGTCCCTCAGACTTGATCTCTCAGCTGCTGGACCCGGTGGTGGACCCCTGGTTAGGCAGAGAGACGGGCTACAACCTGATCCCTGTTCCAGAGTCATACAGCGGACCCCGACTCTCGTTTCCTCTCTCCGTGTCTGATACCAACTCTCTCCTGGGTGCATTTAAAGAGCAGCAGGTACAGTAATATGTCTCTCTCTCCCTCACACACACACTTGTTGCATATGGATGCTGTCAGGGGCTTTATCAGTTTTCTTCACACAGACACTACATGCCAGATATGTTCTGCAACTACTGTACGAGACCAAGAAGCTCCTCAAACAGATGCCCAACATCACCCACTTGTCGACATCCTACACCAATGAGATCACTATATGTGGTGGGTGACCATAACCACAGTTTCACTTGATAATTAAAGATTCTTAATTTTTAAGTCACAATGGACATTTAGGTCTCTGTCTTTGTGTGCATCTGCTTGATTGCACAGTACAGTGGGCCATTGTATGCAACTAACCTTTTACTGATTAAATAATTGCTGATGTCTGCGAATGTGTTTTAAATACAGTTGACTGTATCTTAATGGCAGCGCTTCAAGAATGACGGTTTTGTTTATTTGCAGACTGATCAGGCACTTGACTCCTCTTCCCCGGCTGCCTCCTCCTGCCGATTAGCATCTCATTAAACTCAAGAATATTTAAATAGAAAACACACACTGTTTGGTGGTTGAGGGGTTTTCATACCATAGTAGAATTTCTAACCTGCAGTGTAAATTAAGGATCTGTTGAGCCAGAAATAGGATTTCAATTGTTCCATTTATGTGATGTTCCCATTTGGTACAGGAGACCTACACGGCCGGCTTGATGACTTACTCCTCATATTTTACAAGGTACTGTAAAGCTATATTTTTTCAGGGCAACAATTGTATCTTCTGACCATTCATTACCTACTGTACAGAGAAGTTGTCTTCAATGCATATAATCAGATCTTATATAAAAGTAAAATATAATTAAATGTAAAAGTCAAGGCAACATCAAACGCATGCATACACGCAAGATCTGATTTGAAATCTGTTTATTTTTTACGACATGTTGCTGTGTTTCAGAATGGCCTTCCCTCTGCGGAGACGCCATATGTGTTCAATGGGGACTTTGTGGACCGTGGGAAAAAGTCAGTCGAAGTGGTAATCCTTCTGTTAGCCTACCTGCTGCTCTACCCCGACTACATGCACCTGAACCGAGGAAACCATGAAGACCACATAATGAACCTAAGGTTGGTAGGAAGAAAAAAAGCATATATTCATGTAGGTTTACCACAAAATATAAGGGAAGGAAAACTAAAATACATTGTTGTTTCAGATATGGATTCACAAGAGAAGTCATGCAGAAATATAAGGTACAGTAGAGTCCTGAGAGATGCCATTATTCTGCAGTGACTAGTACTGTACTCAGTTGCATGCTCTGCAGGTTGTGGCATGTAACTGCTTTCACAGCAGCTGGATTAATAATATGTCTGACTGTAGACTCATGGCAGGGAGATCCTCCAGCTGTTTCAGGACGTTTTCAGCCTCCTGCCCGTCGCCACTGTCATTGATGGAAAGATCCTGATTGTTCACGGAGGAATATCAGACCAGACAGACCTGGACTTCCTCAGCTCCATAGAGAGGCACAAGGTGAGAGGAAACAAGATCCCACCTTTCTCCCTCTAGCTCAGGCATGGGCAAACTAAGGCCCGCGGGCCATATACGGCCCGTTGGGCTTTTTAATCCGGCCCGCCGAATATTGGTACAAAATTGTCCAAATCATAGTAAAGACTGCATTCATTTTGCCTTTTTCCTGCAATACCCGGCATTTCAGTTGATCCCACTAGATGGCGCACTCTAGACACAATTTACCTTTGCTGGAGTCGGCAACCCGGCAAGATCTAAGAACCAAATACGTCACGCTTACATTGGGATTAACCTGAGCAATAACAGCTCATGGCGAAATACAAATTGTAACAAGCAGTAGCGCTGAGCAAAGTGACTAGAACGCGACCACACACTTATAAAAAACACTTATATAAAGTCAGGCAACACTAACCAGGCTTAGTGTGATTCTGTTCATTTTACCTTACTTTAATGACCATCCGTTCACTGTTATTGACCATTGTGAAGAGGCAGATGTTTTCCTGTTGTTTTGTATTATAGCAGTTATCGGATGGAATCAATACATGGGCTACATGTGGCCATCACAACGAAAACTACGCCGGTAAAATATGGGTGTAGGAAACGGCTTATGCCACAATATGATAGCAGTAGTCAAGATAGTCTGATTAGCTTTGGTTGCTATGCTAACATCACCTGAAGAATGCCAGAGAAACTTTCATAACAGCATTGTGATGCCAAACAGCGTCAATTCATACTGAAACACATTCACTGATGGGGATGGGGGATATTTATCAGCTGCGTGTGTGACAGTCGGACAGTGAATACTTTACAGCGGCCGCTGCCACGAGTTAACAGTAGAGTAGACTAAACTCCCGTGCACGAGCAGCACTGCAGCGGGCAATAATGCCGCTGAACCACTTTAATAAACAATGCACCACGGCACTCTGGAGAAAGGTATAAGGTTGGAGAAGTAGTTCTTTAATTTAATCAGGCTTCGTATGATTAAAAACTACCCGATGCAGTCCTCTATTGATGTTGTTGTGAGCGGTGTTGCGGATAAAATTAGCGACGTAAAACGCTGTGTGGGTCGTAAGAAGGCACGTAACGGTAACGTCATGACGCAAACGATGACGCAAACAATGACGCAATAATTCACCTTTGAACCTGCATCTGTAACAATGAGTGGAACAAAGAAAAAAAAAGTCGACAATGAGTTCCGAGTGTTTAATGAGTGGACAGCTAAATATTTTTTCACCGATCTGCTACTGGCCCGGCCCGTCTGTCAAATTTTAAAACTGATAGTGGTCCCCGAGCCAAAAAGTTTGCCCACCCCTGCTCTAGCTCTACTCTTTTAACTGCAATAATCAATGTCGGCCACTAGAGGTCAGAAAACCAGTTTTTTATAATGTTGACAAATGCTTCAAACACATGAGTGTAGATGTTATGGTGAGCGTTTTGTTTATATCCAGCTCAGATAAAGCAGCAGTTGCAGTACGTCAACCTTTAGTTACCTGAAAGAGGATAAAAAGCTCTTTGAGGAGGAAATTCTGTGAAAATCATCTGGCTGTGTCATCTTGGCTACATTAGAGACATATACTGTACATTACAGTCATTTGATTCAAAGGTAATTTCAAAAATATGAATACATTTTTGTTTTAAGAAAAAGATCCAACTTAATAAAGAAGGGGTCTAAAAACGTTCAGTGTTGTACATAGGTATGTTTATGATCAATCCTCCATGCTCCTGTTCTCATAAGGTCAGTGAAGGTAAAGTTATTCTCGAAATACAGCAAGTTACTGCTTGAGAAGGACGAGTATGTGGTTGCAAATATTTTTACAATTATTTGTAACCCTTTTAACGTTTGTTTTTTACCTTTTTTAATTTACTCCTCATAAAACTGTGTTAAGTCAGGTACATTATACTGTACATATACATTATATAGCCCAAAATCTAAAATCACCGATTGCCTCCAAGGTTTTTACAATCTGTTCAACAAACTGTATTTACCACTCATCAGACACTTGACATAAGTCAGCTTGAACTTCATTTTGTAAAACAAATATCTTTGTCCAAACTTTATTTATTTCCTCTCTCCTCTGCTTTTCAAGGTAAAATCCGCCCTAAGGTTTCCTAGACGTAGTTTGGAGCAGCTGGACATTGATCAGTCCCAAAGGCAGATGAAGAGAGGGAGATCAACGGCCAGCTCCCGTCCCAGCAGCAGTTGCAGCCACAGCAAAAACCAAAGAACTCCCAACCAGAGGTCTGACCGCAGCCCACTTAAAGTGTATAAAAGGACTTCTTGTTTATAATGACAATCCCTCTCTTCTTTCTTGTAGAAAAAGGCGATGTGGGCAACGCCGACAGGACAGCACTGTCTCCACCTCCTCCTCCTCATCATCGTCCTCGTCCTCCTCTTCACTCTGTTCTCCTCGAACGCCATCCGCCCTCTCGCCTCGTCCTTGCCCTTCTTCTCCCAGCATGCCCTGCAATGTCAATGTCCTCCAAGTGCCTTTCCTGGACTCCCTGTCCTCTGTCGCCCCTCCTTTACCTCTGCAACATGATCTGGAATGGAAACAGGTCAGAGGATACAGTGGGAAATACATTAAAGGTCCCCTATTATACTGTTTTTCATCAATATATTATAGGTCTCAGATATATACAAAATATGTCTCTGAAGTGTTTGGCTCACAATACCAAACAGATCATGCATTGTAGCATCCCATAAACCCCTCTTTTTCAGCCCTGTTTCAAAAGTGCAGATTCTCTGTATTTGACTTTAGATGAGAATAAGGAGCCACTCCCCACGCCCCTCTGAGAGATATTTGGTTAAAAAGAACACAATAGGTGCATTCACACCGCAGTACTTTTCCCACAAAGGTTCATGAGAACTTAGTTCATCAGAACTCTTTAGTTCTCATGAACTAAGTACAGATCACGTTCACACCGGAATAAGTCCCTGGGGGAGGATTAGGCAAATTAAGCCGCTGACGTCACTTATTCTTCTTCTGCTTTGGGTTTACTGGCAGGCCGCAAACAACTTCACGGCGTATACTGCCACCCAAAGTCCCCGGCCGGAAGTGCCCGGAGTTGGGGACTGGCTTCAGTAGAAGCTGCTGGGACTCCCAGCTCCACCGCTCCCATGTTTTCTTTTGTGTTGCCATAATTTAGTCTCTCTTACCTCATTCACACCAACGCAACTCCGGTTCAAGCTCCGTGCTAGAGCTTTTCAGGTTCAGAACCGGTTCTTCGGTTTAGCTCCGGCTCTTTTCACACCACCCAGAGTCCGACTAGTGCTGCGTCATTGCGTCATCGTTTGCGTCATGACGCAACCGTTTGCGTGCCTGCTTCATAAAGCCAAACCGCGCGGAACCCCTCACAGCTCACACCGACAACAACAACAATGGCTGCTTGTTAAGTTTCTCCATCGTTGTGTACAAACTGGATAAAACTCGGGCTTTTTGTTGTTGTTCAGGAGTTGATCCCGCCCCTGCCCCTGCCCCCACCTCGACGTAAGCGTGACGTATGCGGTGCTTTTGCTCTAGCCGGACAATTTTTTGGTGCTTGAAACGAACCGGATTCCGGAGCTAAGAGGCTGCTCCGCTGCGGTGTGAACAGGAAAACCCGGTGCTTTTCAAGCTCCAGCTCCGAACCGGCTCTGAAACACCGTTGGTGTGAATGAGGTATCTGTGTTTCTGCGCTGGGCTAATGCTAATGCTAATAATGCTAATGCGAGGATAATAAAATGGCGGCTTCACAAAACCTTTTTGGAGTTTTACGGGGCGTGGTTTGCATTCCGCCCAGCCAATCAGACATAGGAACCTTTTTCTCCCACGAAAGTCCCTGCTCTAGCAGGGACGGAAAAGGGGGTAAAAAAGGTTCTGATGAACAAATTTTAGTTCCGGCTCTTTTTGGTGTGAACGCGACATTTCGGAACTATATCGGAACTAAAGTGGGAAAAGTACTGCGGTGTGAATGCGGCTAATGGTGCTCTAGGAGGAGATTCAGGTGATAAGGTGGGGGGGGGTTACCTTGGCTGGTTATTGGCTAAAAGTCCTTATGACATCATAAAGTGGCCAAAATCTGATCAGCTCATTTTCAGACAGATTTTTATATAAATGGATCAGGACAAAAAGTGAGCAAATCTCTTTTCCTGAAACTCCGAGAATCTCTTTACACAGAGGGCACACATGTTTATGTATAAAAGACATGAAAAAGTGTATTTTGCTTAATAGGTGACCTTTAATATTGTTCAATTCTGCTCTACTGTGTTCTGTGTCCTATTCTGCACTTGTCATCTGTTTTTCACTCTCCTGCAGATAGTGGATATTTTGTGGAGTGACCCTAAAACTCAAGAAGGCTGCAGTCCCAACATATTCAGAGGAGGAGGCTGCTACTTTGGTCCGGACGTCACCCAGAGACTGCTGACCCGACACGGACTCCAGCTGCTCATCCGATCCCACGAGTGCAAACAGGAAGGATATGAGCTCTGTCATGGTGGAAAGGTAGATGGAAGGGAGAGGCAAAACATAATTCAGATTGTCCAAAAAATATTTGAGTCTTGAGAAGTAAATGTGTGCATTTTTGTTGTACAGGTCATCACCATCTTCTCAGCGTCAAACTACTATGAGGAGGGGAGCAACCGTGGTGCCTACATCAAAGTGGGCCGAGAACTGGTTCCCCGCTTCTACCAGTACCAAGTCAGCCGCACAACACGCAAACTCACCCTCACACAGAGGTACAACTGAGCTCGAAAAATGGGGCGGATAACCCAAAACTCAACAGTACTAAAACAAAAAGTCGAATAATTGATAAGTTAATTCAAACAAAAACAAATAGGATGGTACATTTAATAGAATAGTTCATTTATAAGCCTGTTTCAATGTCTCCATTGGAGTATTCTTCTAAATTTGTCTGTTAAATATCCCAAAACATCCCATAATAGATCCACATGTTTTGCAGCCATTATCTGTCATTTGTTTGGGTGTTTGTCTGCAGAGTACGAGTTGCTGAAGGCTCCGCTCTCAAGGCCCTGAAGGAGAAGCTGTTCTCTCACCGCTCTGAGCTGCTGTCAGGCCTGCAGCAGTACGACCACAAAAACACCGGTAACTCTGTTTGCCTCACTAATAAACACCTGTTTACCCAGGATGACATGTAGAGTTGTTATATGAAATAATTACATCTGTTTTCTCAGGTAATGTATCAGTCAGTGATTGGGCTCAGGTGTTGGAGTCTGTCCTGAGGCTGGACCTGCCCTGGAGGACACTTCGTCCTCACTTAGCCCGTCTGGCACCAGATGGCAGTGTGGAGTACAAATCCTGCTTTGAGGACATGGAATCAGGGATTCCTCTGCCTCAGGTAAGAGAAGTAAATGGGTCCTTAAAGGGTATTTTGGGAATGTTGTATTTTAAGTTTATACCTTTATACATTTCCGAGATAAATGTTTTGACTTTGTCTTCACTGGGTTAATTTGATGCCTGTAGATTTCAGGAACTTTTTAAAATGCTAGATAGTTTAAAGTATTACAAAACAAAATAGTTTTTTCACATCATTTAATAAAAATCAAATGTAAGAGTTTAGGTTTTTCATCAAACAGCTACCAAATTATGAATAGCTGTAGTCCTGATAATTTAAACTGAAACTTTAATGCAATGCTTTTACCGTTCTTCCCTACTTTAAGGATTATAGTTGAAATGTACCCACAGCAGGTAGTGGTTGTTTAGTAGTCTCCTGTTTTCTTTTCCTCTTTTCTTCTTTTAGGTGACACCAAACATGGCTGAGACCCTTTTCAGATACAGGACAGACATTGAGATAATATTCAACATTATAGACAAAGACCATTCAGGTAAAATGTGTTGAAACTCTTTAAAAATGATTTGTCAATAACTTTCCACACAGTTTAGTTTATGTGAGTACGTGTGTTGGTCAGGTCTGATCTCCATCGAGGAGTTTCGTCACACCTGGCGTCTCTTCAGCGCACACCTGGGGGTCGACATCGACGACAGAGCCATCGATGACCTCGCCCGAAGTATCGACTTCAACAAAGACGGCAGTATAGACTTCACTGAGTTCTTAGAGGCCTTCAGAGTGGTACACAAATTGGAAAATAAGGATCAGCAACTCAACGAAAAAATGGATGGAGACAAGTATTCATGAAGGAGGGAATCTGAATAATACACTGGAAGTCTTGCATGGAACAGCAGGAGGGAAGGAGGGGGTGTGGCAAATATTGAATTATTAAGTATTTATTCAGTTGTTGAATGAAAAATACACAATTTGAAAACTAGAATGGCTGTTATTTGGTGATGTACCTTACCGTTATTGGTGCATTCTGTCAGTCGTAGGAGTCGTTGTTTAGGATCCTTCCATCCACCTTTTTGATTTAAAATTGAAATATTTCAACCATAATTTGAAGGATTTCCTTGAATGTTTGCGAAGACATATATGTTTCCCAGACGATATGTTTCTAAGACTTCCTCTGACATTCATCTTGCAGCAGGCAAACGTTTTCAGAACATTCATTCATAGTTTTACAACAATGATGCTTAATTACTAATGGGGATTTATCCTCTTTTAATCTAGTGCCACCAGCTGACTTGTTGTATTGTTTTGACATGTAATAGCTGGACAAACTTTAGATGGATGGAAATGTAACAGTATTTAGAATGATTATGGTATTCTGATCTTCACTTATATAACACTTTCATCCAAAGAAGATTTACAATTAGCTTTTTAAGTATAGTTTAATTTAGTACAGCTCTGACAGCCTTTGCAGAGTTGTGAGAAACAGGTGTTCAGCAGGAGTACCAGTGTGCTGCCACGCTCTGTAGTATTACATGTATTGATGCCTGACGGCTTCAACAGTATGAACAATAGAGACAATCCCGCTATATGGTGTCGGGAAGTGCATGTTCAGTTGTTAACCAAGAGAGAATAAAATACTTTTTTGAACTAATAGTTGTACCTTGTGTATGTATTTGGACTCTGGGTTTTAGTGTGTGTGTGTGTGTGGGTGTCTTTCTTCACATCCCGCCCACTGTAATTACCACACGGTGAGAGCTGTAAAACAGGCCCAGGCATCCTGTTAGAGAAAATGAGGGGTTCAGATTTTACTGAATTTTTACACTTAAGGCACATGCACACACTTCTTAGTTTCAATAGGCTACAGAAAAAAAGGGGAGGGGGAATAGATGTTTTTACTGATTGTTTGATTGTCTGACTCATAATGTCACTTTATAAGAAGTAAAAGTGTTGCTACTTACTTTAAAGCAGGTTCAAACAGCATTTCTCCTGTCACCTATCCATCTGTCAGAGTGTTTTGGGTGTGCACTATCTTACCCCTCCCTCCTCACTTTCTTCCTCCAGTCTGCCCATCCTGTAGTCATCCCACATCTCCCCTCCCCTTAATCTTCAACCTCTCATAATACACTTCCAACTTTCACCATCCAAGTACTTCTCTTTAGCCTCACATCCCAGCTGAGTTCAGATGGGGCTCCTGGCAGCACTGGTCGCTCTGCTCTGCATCTACACTGCAGGTACTTCTTCAAAATAATTCTAACACTTGTGTTTTGTTTAGAGTAAGCAATGTTTACACACATTCACTGTGAAAATGTCCCACAGCGCGTGGAGCGGAGGGATGCAGCAGTTTTAGACACCTGGAGAACGGGCAGACGTTTTTCCGTTACGGAGGACTGCTGGTGATCTTTCGCTGTCGTCCTGGCTACAAGCTCCATGGATACAAAACCAACAGCTGTGTGTCTGGGATCTGGTCCCGGGACACCCCGGTGTGTGTCGGTAAGGAGCGTCACTTGATCGTGGTTGATTTTAGGATTTCTGTATTTGTCTGGAGATGCATTAAGAGAATACCATAACTCATTCGTCTCAACTTTTGTTTAGACTATTTATTACAGTGAAGTACAGAGTTGACCACCAAGGCAACAAAGTTCCCTGTTCAGTCTCAAACTGTGAATTGCTTTTCATGATTTTTTTCCCCCTCTTCCAGGCTCCGGCTGCACTAACCCAGGGCCCCCGACACACGGGACGAGCAGCATGAATGAGGATGGCTCCTGGACGGTGTTCAGCTGTCATAGTGGCTTTCGACTACAGGGGCCCTCTATGTTATACTGTAAGGGCCACATCTGGAATAGCACAAAGCCTGTATGCAAAGGTGAGCATAACAAAAGCAAAATCAACCGTTTGACATTTTTGAAAATCAGCTCATTTACTTTTAAGCAGAAAGTTAGATGACAAGATTGTTACCAATAAAGTAAATTAGTGTTGATAGAAATTCATTACACCATTTTTTCCTCTTTTCCCTGTTAGAGTTAGACTTGATGGGCTTGTCTTCAGGTGTCAGTGTGCAAAAACCAAACACACTGCAGAACCTGCAGGCTGCCGTAGTTCTGAAGACTCAACAACAATCCCACTACGACACCCTCGCTAATACTGCCTCCAAAGAATCAAACCTCAAATTAAGTTTGTCTCACGCTCCACCTCCAATGTCCAGCAGTGAGAGGATTAAAGTGACGCACCCAAAAGTCCACTTGCAGCAGAATGGTCACGATTTTAAATCTGAAGATAGTGTTGAGACAAATCATCAAGAGACAGGAATTGGGAGAAATGGCTCGCAGGCAAAATCCTCACAGGAGGAAACAGAGAAGGTGTACGAAGATGCCTCTAAATCACATCTGTCTACCATTATCCCATCTAGCTTATCATTAGTGTCCAAACCAGAACAATCAACACCCTCACCACCACCATTACTTTCAACAGCCCTTACACAAGCTCTCACTGCTGTCACGAATACTGTGATGTTTACCCCGCTCCAACACACAAAATCTTCTCTTCCAGTGCTCAGCAGTGAAACAGAGTTCTCATCCGGAGAACCTGTCACATCCTGGGATGATGTGTCTCCCTCTGAAGTTGTAACAAGCTCCTTACAAACTGATAAAGACCAGCAGGTTGAAACTAGTTTCCAGTATCCTCCTTCGTCTCAGCCTTCTGGAGGAAAGGTGGATCCCACAGAGACTTTACCAACTGTATCTGTTCATTTAACATCTACCAGAGCTTCATCACCTTCCCCTTCCTTATCACCCTTCCATCCCAACCCCACCCAGTCCAATATTAAAACTAATGTTTCTTCAAACACTTCCAGCCCCACTGAGTCCAGATCTAATGGTTCTGAATACCACAACACCACCTCTACACCCCCTCCGCTGTCTCTGACTCTCAGCAGACGACCTGTGTGCACGCACCCACCTGTGCCCGCTCATGGGACCTTCTATTTACATAATGTGGAGAATCCAGGTCCCACAGAATACAAACAGTACATCCAGTATGCCTGCTATCCTGGTTATACGCTGGCTCATGGAGACATACACAGCTACTGCCAGCGGGGGGGCTTCTGGAGCGGCACCACACCTGTTTGTCTGGGTAGGTGGAGTCGCTGCTTCAAAAGTACTTTGATTCATTCGAAAATGCTGACATGGGAAAGGAAAGATGTGCTGATGGGAAGGTGCAAGGTACTGCATCGACAGTACACTTCCCAATAGTAGTATTTTTCATCTTTCAATCTTTTATTGTTGGTAAAAGGGGGTTTTCCTGCATTATTTTAATTATATTTTAAGTGTTATTATCAGTGGATTGTAGGTGCCGCAAAAATAACTTAGAATAAACATTCTTAGTGTCCCCTTTAAAGTTTCACTTCCTATGATGTTTTCAATTTGACTCTGATTTATTCTGCACTCATACAAATTCTTAAATAAATGTCTCTTATTAGAAATGTTGAAACGACTCTTGCACTTTATTCTTTCCCCATCTTCCCTGTTTGACTCTCCAGAGCTGACACCATGTTCAGTAAACAACGGAGGCTGTCCACAGCTGTGCTCTCTCTCCCAGCACCTCAACCAGAGCTCCAACCAGACCCACACCATAACTCAGTGCCACTGCAAAGCAGGATTCACTCTGGTGGAGGACGGGAGAACATGTCGAGGTGAGCAGATTCATCTTTTTCTTTTTTTCTTGTAACATTCTTCCTGAATCCTCTGTGGACGCCCTGCTCTTCCTAATAACAACAGAGCGTGCACTGAGGCGTGTTACAGCACAACTGGGAATCTCCTTCACATGTTTTATGTGTTGGATGTTTCATGCCTCACAAGTGAGCCGTGAAATTCATGGCAGCACGGTCACCCTTCAGCACTTAAAGGCTGACATTGACTTTATATTTTGTTACGCGTGCCTGCTTTCTGACAGCCTGTCATTTGAGAGAGCCATCATCGGATGGTGTTGATATTATTTTTGAACAGTGTTATTATCAGTGTGCTCTCGGACAGATAGTCCTGTCCAGACATTGTGGTTAGACTAATTATAGTTTAGTTTCAGCCTGAGAATTCCACTGCAAGTAAAATAAGGGCCATAAACATTCCTGTCTGACAGACAGTTAAAAAAACAGCATTTATTTTTAAAAGGGGTCATTTTTTTTTTTCTTCCAGAATTGGTCTATATAGTCTTCTATAGTGAGACGCATCAAGTAATAATTGTTTGTCAAATACTGTACTTTAAAAATAATGTTGAGGTTCTATTTATTTGCTTGAGTTTCATTGTTTGCTTCTATAAACAGTACTTTTTACTCTCCTACATTTATCTGACACACTGAATAATTTCAGCTTTTGTGAATTTATGGGACCCTTTACATTATAAAATTACTTATTTTATTTGTTTTTATTAAGATTTTACAAACTATGATAATATATAAAGGCGATATTGAGGTATAGATCTAACAATATAAAAAGTAATTAAATTGGCTTTTTCCTTCACCAGGTATCCAATTAAAATGCTGCTTATGTGTTCAAGCATTATGGATAATATTCCAATAACACGCTAAAATAACTCTCTGAAAGGGAGTATCCTCGCCAACAAGCAGCACTTTAATACAGCACTTTTACTTTTAGTGAAACCTTTAAATGTAGGAAATGTACTTTAACAGAGTATCTTAACAGGGCAATATTGTTACTTTTACATGAGTAAGTTTACATTATAAGTACCTCTTTAATTTCTGCCGAAAAGACCTCTTAGGTGTATGGAAAAATGTCAGGTTGGGGAAATGGTTCTTTCCTTGATGGCAGGAAAATAAGTGCAGAGCTGATATCTAAGCTCTCTGACTCCTTTCTGCACATCCTTGTTTCCTTTTTCTGAAGAGCAGGAAGTCAGAAAACATCTGTGTTATGGTTTGCTCATTACAGTCAGAAACAGCAAGCAAACATGGAGGCACATCAATGAGGTTTCAGATTCCAGCTTTGTGACCACCTTTCATCTGCTGCTTGTTTCTTTCATCTCAGTGCAGCCACGGACTCTGTGTTTTTGTCAGATCAACACATGCATTTGTCTTTTATTAAATCAGTGTCCAGTGACAGAAATGTGTTCTCTATGTATGCAATAATTATTGTTTGCATGTGTGTAGATTTAGATGAGTGTGTGGAGGGGCAGTACCGCTGTCGGCAGAGATGCATCAACACATTTGGATCCTTTAAGTGCAGCTGTGATGACGGCTATCAATCAGCTGATGACCAGACCTCCTGCACGGGTATGTGTGTGTGGCTGTGTGTATTTATTCATTTATGTTCATGAAAAGTGCTTTCTACATCATTCTCCATATTTCCAGATGTGGATGAGTGCATGCTGCCTGCAGCTGTAACTGGCTGTGTGTTTGGTTGTGTTAACACTCCCGGGAGCTTCCACTGCCAGTGTCCCTCTGGATACAGCCTACAGACTGCCCACAGCCACTGCCAAGGTAACATGTAGAAAACTTTCATTTGAGTAAACAAGCATGAAGGGTGTTCCTATTCTTCAAAACTTAAACATATCCACATGTTCATTTTACCTCTACCTTAGTACGAATTGTGCTATTGAACTAACTTTTTTGATAGTTCATTGTTATAAAACCATAACAATTAGATA